TACGTGACTTTACCGAAAGAACAAAAGAATAATGGTGTGTGTTGAACCAGGACCCGAATCGAATAGAGATGGTTCTTGTCTTTAAAATATCTGGCAGTCCATTGGCATTAGTTTAGCCTCAGTGAGGCTTCGCAATATTTAAAATTGATTTTCTTGCTCACATGGATAGTGATGATGATAATAAAATTAGGCTGTTTAACTCATAGGAGACTTTAGCGACCAATATTATTCACAATAAAGGTTTTTGTTGGGTTAGATTGCATAAATATAAACGTGTCGTTAAACGGCCACCACTGCCCGACACAGTCAATTAGTAAGGTTTGTCACGAAAAAAGTGCCAATTAGTTACTAGTTCAGCACACCAGTGTGTTCGAGAGTGAATCCATAACATTTAGTATTTGAATACTGACGTTTTCGGCGGTAATTACATCCGACATCATCGGCCGATTTTGCTAGAATTCTGGTGGGCTGAAGTAGTCACTAATTGGCACGTTTTGTTTACGTGACAAACATTACTGATTGGTCGTGTTGGGTGGTGGCAGGGTTCACGACACATTTATATTTACGCAATGAGCCAAAAAACTTTATGAGGAAAATTAGGCTACCAATGTAAAATCTTGATTTGAAGCTTTCGTGACTGCAGGAATCCATACTCTGGTTCTTTCGGTAAAGTAATAATGTTGGTATAAAATAAAATAAATCACAATGTTTCGATCGCAACACAAGCGGTCGTCCTCAGGCAAAAAAAAAATATAATCCAGCAGTGGAACTGCTGAACTAGCGAGAGAGCAGCTATAACAAGGCTATATATTTGGCGATGGGCAAGCAAGCAGAGTCTGAGCTGGAAAGGAATTCCACCTCCGGACGCAAGCATCTCAGTTGTGTTAACGGGGAATTAGGGAGAGGGGGATTAGGGAGAGAGGGATTAGGGAGGGAGATTAGTATGAATGAGCTTCCATCACCGCATAAGAGTATCATGCCCGCATATGCGCACAACAGCAGTGGCAATGAGAGATTAGCACCATGAAAGTGCAATCCAAAGAGAGAGACACAAGAGAGTCGGAAATAAGAGCTGACATAGGCAGGTAGGATGGAAACATCACAGTCAGTTAAGACTTTACCTGGTTAATAACGTCCTTCCAATGATTGCTCAGTTTGTACCCATCTTCTTGGTTGAATTTCTCTCTGTGTTTATATATCTGGATGGCTTCATGAACAAATCTCTGAAGGTAGTCAGTAGGTTTGCAGAGTACTTCCCAGTGGATGATATAATCGCCCAGGTCGACGTAGCCCTCAAAAGCTTGGGACACATCGCGGTAGAAATCGCTGCTATCCTCAAAAACGCTAAGAAACCCATTGGCAACATCAGGAAGGACGAGCGTTTTGAACTCTCTAAATAAAAAAACAGATGACATTGTCATCCTCTCAGCCGACAAGGGCAATGCCACTGTCATCATGGATAAAACCACTTACAACAACAAAATTAAGGACCTTAATGATGGCAGCTATACCAAAATCAACAGAGATCCCACCAACCGCCTAGCCACAAAAACCAACATCATCACTAAATCGACTTCTCTAAACGATCAGACCAAGCAGAGTTCCCTAAAGCCTTTGGCTGCTAGACCACCCAGATTTTATGGCCTTCCAAAAATCCACAAAGTAGGTACCCCGCTCCGTCCTATCGTCTCCACCATTAACTCACCTACCTACAAACTGGATCGATTTCTGTCTGAGACTCTGCTTCCTTTCACGGGAAAGTCCACCTCAGCTGTACTTAGCTCACTTGGTTTCTCTAATCAAAGACATCTCACTGTCTCCGGATGATTTGCTTGTCAGTTTCGATGTAGTCTCTCTGTTCACCAATGTACCTGTACTTGACACCATTGCAATTATTGAAGACTTGGTCCAACAAGAACTGAATCCAGATGTACCATCTTTGGTAAGGCACTGTCTTACCAACACATACTTCACCTGGAATGATACATTCTACAAACAGAATGAGGGTACCCCAATGGGTTCTCCCTTATCGCCAGTGGAAGCGAATGTTTTCATGGAGAAATTTGAGACAGATGCCATCCAGACATCCACCCTACATTCTTCCTTGTGGAAGAGATACGTAGATGACACGTTCGTCATCTGGCCACATGGCCTGCCAGCACTGAACCAATTTCTCAACCACATAAATTCCATACACCCGTCTATCAAATTCACCATGGAAGTGGAAAAGGATGGGAAGCTACCATTCCTGGATGTTTTGATCGAGAAGAGACCTGATGGCTCGTTGGGACATTCGGTCTCCAGGGAAGCCACCCACACGGATGCCTATCTAAAGCCGGACTACCACCACCATCCAGCCCAGAAGAATTCCGTCATCAAAACACTACACCATAGGGCACGTTGTATCTCCGACCAGCACCACCTAGCTAGTGAGTTGGAGCACGTACACCAAGCCCTCAGGATGAACGGATACTCGGACCGTACAATCCGCAAAGCTGGTTTCCCAGCCATGGGGAGACAACCTTCTGAAGATCCAACCAAAACCATCACTTTGCCATACATAAAAAAGATTTCCAAAATCTTAAACAAACACAGGATCCAGGTTCATTTCAACACACTACACAAAATCCGTGATTTAATCTCATCTGTAAAGGATGTGATGCCTGAAATGCAATACCCTGGTGTCTACAAACTAAGTTGTGGTTATGGCAGCAGTTACATTGGGGAAACGAAACGACATGTCTCCACTGGGAAGTACTCTGCAAACCTACCGGCTACCTTCAGAGATTTGTTCATGAAGCCATCCAGATATATAAACACACACACAACTTAAACCGAGAAGATGGGTACAAACTGAGCAATCATTGGAAGGACGTTATTAACCAGGTAAAGTCTTAACCGACTGTGATGTTTCCATCCTACCTGCCTATGTCAGCTGTTATTTCCGACTCTGTGTCACTCTCTTTGGATTGCACTCTCATGTTCACGTCCTTGGATTGCACTCTCATGGTGCTAATATCTCATTAACACTGCTGTTGTGCGCATATGCGGGCATGATACTCTTATGCGGCGACGGAAGCTCATTAATACTAATCTCCCTCCCAAATCCCTCTCTCCATAATCGCCCATTAACACAACTGAGGCGCTTGTGTCCGGCGGTGGAATTCCTTTCCAGCTCAGACCCCGCTTGCTTGCTCATCGCCACATATATAGCCTTGTTGTAGCTGCTCTCTCGCTAGTTCAGCAGTTCCACTGCTGGATTATATTTTTTCCGCCTGAGGTCGACCGCTTGTGTTGCGATCGAAACGTCGTGATTTTATTTTATACCAATGTAAAACCTACCACCATGTGACAGCCCAAACACATGAAATTATCTCCACATGCACAAGCGTTTTCACACACTTAACATTCTGACTGTTTCGGTTCACCAGAAAGCTGAAGAACAATCCTCACTTTTGTCATATCTTAAGTGCAAAATGTGATCGTGAGATATTTCCTTCAACTCATTGGTGAACGGAAATGGTTACAATTGGCACATTAGACGCTTGTACAAGTAGCAATTTAACTTGATTAGCTGAATCAGTTGGTGGAGGGTCTTCGACAGATTTGGTCAGTTCATTAAGTGGCTTCACAAAAGACTCTTTCATCTATATATACAAAAGTGTTTACAACTTCAATTAACAACTGTTTGCAGGCATGAAATTACCCCCATTGATTTTCCTGATATTTTAATAATGCCTTTTCATTTTCTATAGTGTAATTCATGCTAATGGAATTCCATAATGTTTTACATTAATTATATGAGGGTCAACTCCTATACACAACTACTGCCAAGCAAATTAAAACCCTACTAAGCTAAATTAAAAAGGAATAAAGAAATGCCAAAACATCAAAAGGCAAAAACAACAACAAAAAGTTATCACAAGCCAGAAATTAGTCCATTCGGTCACATCTTAGCCTACAATCCAAACTTCTCTGGCAAAAATATTACAAAGCTGCAGTGTGTATAAAATTCTCTGGCACGTGTCGTGATGACTTTTGTAAGATCCGACCATGTCCACCGATTGCTCTCTGAGCTGCATTGGCTTTAAGTTCCCGTACGAAGACATTGTAATGTCGCGCTCATTACACACAACGTGCTTGCCTCAAATTAACCACAATACCTTGCCGATCTAATCAAGTAGCATAAACTCCAGTCATCGTTGCAGCGGCTTTTGGCTAGCTAATCGAGCAAAGATGGTTACTGCATTGTGCGCTTTCAGATGTGCTTCTGTGGCCATCTGGAACACTCTTCCTTCCGATATTAGGAAGCAACTGGAACTAGAGATAACTCACTTCTTTAGAACTTATTTTTGTATTTAGTTTGTCGTCCTACCCCGCACCTCCGATTAGCACGGTTGGCTACATATGGTGCGAAAGAAGTTCAACATGTTTACATACAATCCAGGAAACCTTCACTGGAGGGGCGATGGATTTCTAAAAAGTTATGAATACTTTATTTTTATTTTACCAGGTAATGCCCACTGAGCTTTGTAGCTCTTTTTCAGAAGCAACCTGGCCACAAATGATAGCTCAACGAAGTCGCTTATAATTTGGAAATTTATAGCAGCCAAATACTCTAAATGCATGTTTCTAAATGTGGAGGGACAAACCGGAGGACCCGTAGGTAAATGCACATGACCACGGGGAGAGAGACACGCAAACTCCTAACATACAGGTGTCAGGGTCGAGATTGCACCCACAGTCTCCCGCATACCCGCCACTCGACCAATTAGTCAAATGTCCACATGTGATTACCTTTTTTCTCAGCTTATGCCTGGATGAATAAAAAATGCCTTCATTTCGGATTTGAATAATACTGTGATGGAGCCAATTTGTCGGATGTGGAGTGGGAGGTTATGCTAAATATATGGGCTGCTGTGCATGAGAGAGCTCGTCCAGCAATGGCTTTTTCAGTTTTATCGTTGCCTCTGTCCGTCTCCCTCTGACCCCCTGCACAGCGCGGAGTGGAGTTTGGAACCCCTGCTCCTCAAATGGGGCCTCTGCTGCCGCTTGGTTGAGCCGGCCGCCTTCCACGGCGACTCGCCCACCCTGGCGGGGTCGTCGCTGCCTGGAGACCACACGGTGCACATGTGCATTATCACGCGTGTCATCACGCACGATACCACCCAGCGGAACTTAGCGTGGAGTTCCAACCGGCGGTAATGAAATTGTGGGGTTTGTTTTCCTATCACAGTTCGTTATGCTATAAACGCGTAATTTTCATAACGTGAATTGGATATACTGTATATAAAAACAATGTATCGAGGAACGCATTTTTTAATAACACGGACGTTAATTGGATATAACGCGGCTGAGTGAATGGAACTACGTCACACGGGTAGGAATAAGCGGTTGTACGGCTGCCTTGGCGTAGCATCGCACGAGGCATTGGGATGCTGCTGGATGCTTCTAGATGCTACACACGTGCACCCTCAGTCTTTGTTCAGCCTGCGTACGCATTTCACGTGTTATCGCGGGCTGTGCTTTGCCATGATTGTCTCAAGGAGCCATATTATTTTCTTGTGGTAAGTGTTAAAACAAGTTCATAAGTTTATTTACAGCTCATAAATGTTTCTTATGCTAAAAAATATATTTTTAAAAAAATATTGTATCATTAAAAACTGCTCAGCAAGTCGTTTCACGCCCTTCATCATTTTCTCTCTTCACCCTCCTCCATAGCTACGTTTTTTTATCGCTTAGTGACTTACACCGTGACGTGCATTTTTCACAAAGTTTCATGTTTTTATTCAATTAACGAATAATATAAAACTCAAACACAGCTATTATAAAAGAACACGTACAAAACAACAATGACTAATAATTGTGAAAAGTCAGTCATGTTGGTGTTTTAGAAACCTACTACCCCCTAAACCCTTAATTCCCATTGAGTCAATGGTTGTTATGCCATTTTTCCAAACCGTGGTGTTCTTGAGGAACGCAACTACCACGGTTTTCGTAGTGACACAGTCGGTAGACTACAGTGACACAGCCTGTAGGCTACAAAGTGACGCAGCGTGTAGACTACGCAGTGACGCAGCATGTAGACTACGCAGTGACGCAGCATGTAGACTATGCAGTGACACAGCGTGTAGACTACGTAGTGACACAGCGTGTAGACTACGTAGTGACATCGTGTAGACTATGCAGTGACAAAGCGTGTAGAGTATGTAGTGACACAGCGTGTAGACTATGTAGTGACACAGCGGGTAGACTACGTAGTTACACAGCGTGTAGACTACATAGTGACGCAGCGTGTAGACTACGTAGTGACATCGTGTAGACTACACAGTGACGCAGCGTGTAGACTACGTAGTGACATCGTGTAGACTACGCAGTGACGCAGCGTATAGACTACGCAGTGACGCAGCATGTAGACTACGCAGTGACGCAGCGTGTAGACTATGCAGTGACGCAGCGTGTAGACTACGCAGTGACGCAGTGTGTAGACTACGCAGTGACGCAGCGTGTAGACTACGCAGTGACGCAGCGTGTAGACTACACATTGATGCAGCGTGTAGACTATGCAGTGACGCAGCATGTAGACTACACAGTGACGCAGCGTGTAGACTACGCAGTGACGCAGCGTGTAGACTACGCAGTCACGCAGCGTGTAGACTATGCAGTGACACTGTAGACTACACAATGACGCAGTGTGTAGACTATGCAGTGAGCAGCGTGTAGACTACGCAGTGACACAGCGTGTAGACTACGCAGTGACACAACGTGTAGACTACGCAGTGACACAGCGAGTAGACTACGCAGTGACACAGCGTGCAGGCTACACAGTGACACAGTAGGTAGACTACGCAGTGACGCAGCATGTAGACTACACAGTGACACTGTGTAGACTAAGTAGTGATGCAGCGTGTACACTATGCAGTGACGCAGCGTGTAGACTATGCAGTGACACAGTGTGTAGACTACGCAGTGACACAGCGTGTAGACTACGCAGTGACACAGAAGGTAGACTACGCAGTGACGCAGCGTGTAGACTACACAGTGACACTGTGTAGACTACACAGTGACACTGTGTGTAGACTACACAGTGACGCAGCGTGTAGACAACGCAGTGACGCAGCATGTAGACTACGCAGTGACGCAGCGTGTAGACTACGCAGTGACGCAGCGTGTAGACTACGCAGTGACACAGCGTGTAGACTACGCAGTGACACAGCGTCTAGACTACGCAGTGACACAGCGTGTAGACTACGCAGTGACACAGAAGGTAGACTACGCAGTGACACAGCGTGTAGACTACACAGTGACACTGTGTAGACTACACAGTGACACTGTGTGTAGACTACACAGTGACGCAGCGTGTAGACAACGCAGTGACGCAGCGTGTAGACTACGCAGTGACGCAGCGTGTAGACTACGCAGTGACGCAGCGTGTAGACTACGCAGTGACGCAGTGTGTAGACTACGCAGTGACACAGAAGGTAGACTACGCAGTGACGCAGCGTGTAGACTACACAGTGACACTGTGTAGACTACACAGTGACGCAGCGTGTAGACAACGCAGTGACGCAGCATGTAGACTACGCAGTGACGCAGCGTGTAGACTACGCAGTGACGCAGCGTGTAGACTACGCAGTGACACAGCGTGTAGACTACGCAGTGACACAGCGTCTAGACTACGCAGTGACACAGCGTGTAGACTACGCAGTGACACAGAAGGTAGACTACGCAGTGACGCAGCGTGTAGACTACACAGTGACACTGTGTAGACTACACAGTGACACTGTGTGTAGACTACACAGTGACGCAGCGTGTAGACAACGCAGTGACGCAGCGTGTAGACTACGCAGTGACGCAGCGTGTAGACTACGCAGTGACGCAGCGTGTAGACTACGCAGTGACGCAGTGTGTAGACTACGCAGTGACGCAGCGTGTAGACTACGCAGTGACACAGCGTCTAGACTACGCAGTGACACAGCGTCTAGACTACGCAGTGACACAGCGTGTAGACTACGCAGTGACACAACGTGTAGACTACGCAGTGACACAGCGTGTAGGCTACACAGTGACACAGTAGGTAGACTACGCAGTGACGCAGCATGTAGACTACACAGTGACTCTGTAGACTACGTAGTGACGCATCGTGTCGACTACACAGTGACACTGTGTAGACTACGTAGTGACGCAGCGTGTAGACTACGCAGTGACACAGCGTGTAGACTACGCAGTGACACAGCGTGTAGACTACGCAGTGACACAGTATGTAGACAACGCAGCTGTTTAGGCATGCGCTGGCTGGGCATGCGGGCTACATGACCCAGCTAACGCAGCCTTCCCTGGCAGAGGAGCTTACCGATGGGACTTTGTTGAGATCTTTCAAGGATTTGTGAGCTCCTCACACAATCCAGCCTGATTAAACCCAGGATGGATAATAGGCAGGCTAGCCTAAATGTTTTTAACCGGCGAAGATATTTCATTAGGGGGTCCACGTTTTGCAAGCGTAAAGAAAGGAGGGCATGTCTGTGGCCGAGAAGACCTGAAGCTTCGTGTGGAAAGACAGACCAGGTATCTTCCACACAGCATTATGCAACCAATGAAAATATAATGCTGCTCGACTGATTTGGAGTGAGACCTCTGCTGTCAAACCGGAGCCGTTGATGAGCACACTGCCCAGGTATGGGAAGCTCTCCACTCTCTCCACAACTGCCCCATCACCAATTGGGAGTTGTGGGGGTGAAGTGGCCGATGGTTCAAAATACCCAGGCAGGTGCTTAGTTTTGGTGGGGTTGATAGTAAGGCCTCACCTTTTAGTGCTTCAGGTTCAGTAGAATTACCTCCAACTCCTCCTCTGAGTGAGCAGCAATTACCAGATCATCTGCATACATAACATGAATGACCAATAGGGAGCTATCCCTTGACCGCACCCGGGCATTGATCAGCCTCCCATTGTATCTGTACCATATGGAAAATCCATCAATCGAAGGCTTCATGAACTATATGGTCAAAATAGATGTTCAATAATGTGGGAGCCAGAGGACATCCCTGTCGCACCCCAAGGTGAATGGCACCGACTCCCGGCCACGTAGTTTTACCCGGGCCCCCTCACCATCATGAAGGTCCTTAATGATCGTGAGCAGAGAGTCAGGGACTCCGAAAGCATGAAGAACAACCCAGAGCCCAGGCCTACTGATAGTATCATAGGTTTTGAGCAGGTCAATAAAGCAGAGATGTAGGTCTTCTTGGAATTCCCTACACCTCTGCTCTAGCAGACGGACAGAAATATAGCATCTCTGCAGGACCGCCCTTTCCTGAAACCACAAGAAAGGGTGATCACCTGTGGTGCCACGACCGTGGAGCAACTCCGCAAGCGCCGCGATTTTCCATTACTCCCCACCCTGAGCACACGCAGCACATGCACTCATATAGTGTCCTGGCGGGGGATTGCCTGGCATATCGGGTTTTAATCTGAAGGAACCCTAGAGGGAAAGTCCCACGACTTCCCGGTGCAGGACAGGTTACATTTTGATGCCCTTAAAATTTGTTTTAAATTGTATGGGCGCAGAAAGAAAAAGTTCACTGGGCCAACCGCAATGAGTTACTCACAACATTGGGGGGAGGACAGAGGGCGGAATATTAAGCAAGAAAAGCGCAAGTGCCCTTCCAGACAATGGGCAACGAGGAACAATGGGTGGCCAGCGACCGTCGCTATGGACTCGAGGAAGGACACGGTAACAGGGGGACGGTAACCACAAGTAAGCACACGATGGGCCGCGCGGTACAATGGCACCCCGGGCCTTTGAAGTTAAGGGAATAAAAAGAGTAGCCTGGGACGATTTTGGCTCTCTTTGGCTCGTCCTTCTCCCTCCGACTCTCACAGCGTCCCTACGATGCCGTGAGTAGAGCGTCGAGGTACGTGGTAGGACGTGGGAGTGACTAGGTACGTAGGCAGAGTTAGGCTAGGCTCTTCTCGCGAAACATTCCCCCCGGGTAGTGTGTAATTTCGCAGTGAATAAACATTAGTACAAATTATCGGTACAGTGTGATTTGTGTGTGTGTGGAGCAGCTGCATGGGCGGACGAGCGGCGAGGGCAGAGCCGCAACACGTGCTCGTTAAATTAATCACCAGCTTGTGCGCGCGTGTTCACGCCGCTGCTGTAACATTAGTCATTGTGTGGACGCGTTGTGGGATACAACCGCCCACCGACGCGCGTGTGTTCGTGCAGCCGCTTTAGCGCTAGCCTTTGTGTGCAAGCGGATTAGCCAATAACCACCTGCTGGCGTGCATATTCGTGCAGCCGCTTTAGCGCTAGCCTTTGTTTACAAGCGGATTAGCCAATAACCACCTGCTGGCGCGCATATTCGTGCAGCCGCTTTAGCGCGAGCCTTTGTGTGCAAGCAGATTAGCCTATTACTACCCGCGGACGTTCACGCAGCCGTTTGGAGAGGAGAGCGCTGCAGGCGGAGGTGCGGTCATATCGCGGCGCACTGTATTGGCGTGAGAGAGCAAGCATAGAGCCGCAGCACAAGCGCTCGTTAAAATAACCGCCCGCAGAAGCGCGCGTATTCGCGCCGCCGCTATAGCGCTAGTCGTAGTACGTGCGCATATTAAAATATAAGCGACAGCAGGGGCAAGTGCATCCGCGCAGCCGCCTTCGCATTCGTGGTGGTGTACGT